TTCGCGATTCCCCGAGGCTGGGTGAGTTGGGCCGTCAACTGCGGAAGCTCTCGGCTGCGGGCGTTCGCGGCGTGGGACACGTCGGAGGGCCATGCACGTGGCGAGTGCATGCACTTCCATCTGGCGGGCTCGTCGTCGACCTCCACTGCAGCAGCGGGACATCAGAAGTACACGGGCTCGATTCTTCACGGTTTCAGTAGAGATCTACTGGCCAAAGCGTGGGACGTGGATGTCAGCCACGTGGAGCGGCTGCTGCAGTCCCAGCAAGGGAGCGCCATTGTCGAACTTCCTTCTCGCTCAGCGATCAGCCCCGCCACGTGTCACACCGTAGTCAATCAGGCCGCCCTCACATGGACGACAACATCGACGATCAGTCAGCTGGCCATGGGATTGGGTGATGACGTCAACGGAGAGCAGGGGCCGTCCTCCGCTTTCGGTCTCTTGCCTCTCCCTGGTGGCGAGCACGTGTACAAGCTGGACAGATCGTCCGCTGACGTGGCTAACAAGGGCGGGAAGCTTTGGTTGCTGAATGAGCACCGGATGCCAGCGCTGCGTCAGCTGGGGATGGGAGCGTACAGACTGTTCTTGCGGCCAGGGGCGGTGGTGGGCCCGGCGTGGTCAGTGAACGCGCACCACATTGTGTACATCATCAGAGGGAAGGGGCGCGTCCAGATCGCGGGTCCGGACGGGCGCAACGAGCTAGACGCGGAGGTGCGCGCAGGACAGGTGGTGGCGATCCCGCGGTTCTTCGCGGCGTTGAAGGTCGCGTCGGAGGAGGAGCCTTTGGAAATCATCTCGGTGACGTCGTCGTCGATGCCCTTGTCGTCCTTCCTCTCCGGATCGACTTCCCTGCTGAAGAACATGCCGTTGGATGTGGTCACCCACGCGTTCAACATCGACAGCGAGTTGGAGGAGAAGTTTAGGGAGAAGAGGAGGGAGGTCACCGCCATTCTGCCGCAGTCGCAATCGTCGGGGAGTCAGAAGGACTCATGGACGTGGTTCCTGTCCGACTCGAGCTCTCTCTTGTAGAACATGCCTTGTGGAGGCGGAAACCGAGGCGTGGAGGTGGAAAGCCAGGCGTTGATTGTCGACTGGAGAGAAGGGGAGGGACATCAGCGCCGTTCGACCGCAATTGTAATCGGCTGAGTTGGAGGGTCCGCAAAATAATTTTCACAATAGTAACATGGAAATGAACCGCGCAATCGGCACCAAGATGAGATGTCCTTGAAAAGTCAATGGCCGTAGATATAATCCCGGTTCTTCCCTGATCGGAGCGTCAGAAGAATGTGTAGAATAGGTGATGTACAGTGAACTGCGTGTGGAGAACAGCGAGAGCATCGAGGCGTACGGGGCATCATCTTGCTGGGCCGTATATGTCGTCAATTGCTGGAAGATTCAGAATGTTAAGAGGCCAAGTGGTATGTATGTGGCCTCGGTAATTACTTGGTACCTTATTATTGTTGTGCCAGGCAGAGCTAGTCCGTGTTAATTCCGTTTCTGCAGGGAGGGAGCTCCTATTGTGCATGAAGGATAGTAATTGACACGTGTAGAATGGAATTGACACGTGGCGCAAGCTCTGTGTGCTAAAGAGAGTAATCGACACTATTAAAAGAACATTGACACGTGGCGTTACACTCTTCCCGAACGATGGAGTGTTAAGCGACATGTGTAGCGAGCGATTGCTGGCTTTAAGCGTTACGCGCTTGAGCTAGAGTAATTGACACGTGGCGTAAGGAATTGACAAGTGGCGCACAGCCCCAGATGCGGGGAAACTGAAACTATATAGGGAGCGGAGTGGGTACGTGCATGGAGAAGGGTAACTGAAACTCTATAGGGAGCGGAGTGGTTACGTGCATGGAGAAGGGGATTTGATTAGTGCCAGTGCACAGAGGAGGAGAGGATTTGACACGCGTCTCCTCATGGAGACGAGGCCTTCACCACGTGGCTGCACATCTGAGGTAGATCTGAGAGGGTGGATGGTTGTTGTGTGTGTGCAGATGCCACGTTGGATCGTGGGCTTTCGCACGTTGTTAGTATTACAACGAGGATTTTAACCAGCCTATCACACAACACGAGGGGCTCTAAACGCTTTTCGTCGGGTTCTTGGGGTTTTACTGACAGTGCGACCACGTGCCGATCGAGGACATTGATGAGATGAGAGTCGTGAGGTAAAAGAAATAAAATAAATAAATAAAAATAGTGAGGTATGCTTAGCTGACTTGAAGGGACAATGTGTGACCATAATTCTACTTATCTGATGCAGGTTTTGAAGGACGTGGGTGTTTGTCCTTTGTAAGGATCAGTTATAGTACACTGATTGGTTAACTTAGCGCTAGCAGTCTTTCAGTCTGTGGGCTAGTGCAGTATGGTTAATGGTAGTGAGAAGAAGAAATGAGCACCTTGACATTTGCTTCGACAGTTGTTAGAGTAATCTCATCTCTGTGGATTTGGACCGTCGTGGTAATGCGGCACAGCTACCTGCCGTAACCTCCGTGGACAGTGTTTTGTGTGGCCGAGTTATAATTGCACTATGAGGCAAGATACATTTTGCAATTGCACTTCGGGCACCCTACCTGGTCAGAAAGCTGGGTTGTAAACATTGCCCGAACTGCAATTCGAAACTGTATCTTGGCACATATACTGCAGTTATAACTCGTTTGTGTGACTCCCGTGTAGTTTCCCCTTTGTGTAATCATTCCTTGACTCACTTTCAACAGTCGTGGTTGTGTAGTAATACATAAGTGAGAGGGTGAGATAGATGCGTACTACCAAGAAAGATGAAATGGATGAGACAAATACAAAGGTTACAAAAAAAAAAAAAAAATGTTTTGCCGCGGGGAGGCTTTATAACTTTTCCCAAAAGAACACACACCAATGCTTTGTGTAATCAATCCTGGAGTGAGTGTGAACCCACGTGGGTTTCTGAGAAACAGTGGTCCACGTGGACAGCAGTTCGCGTGCAGGTTGTTCTGTGGTGCATGTAATCTGTCTCGGAGTGGGTTTGGTGTGGGTTTCTGAGAAACAATGGTCCACGTGGACAGCGGTTCGCGTGCAGGTTTTTCTGTGGTGCATGTGATCTGTCTCGGAGTGGGTTTGGTGGTGCCGGTCGATTGTGTTTTGACATCTGTAGACGAAGGAATTTGTCTTCAAAAAAAAAAAGAAAAAAAAGGAGAAGACTAGCAATCTGTCATTGACTGGATTCGAACCGTCGTGAGTAGTAAGTAACTGTGGTCTGCTTGTAACTGACCGTGCAGTGCTTTGTGTGATCTATAGATAGAGTTGTTGGATTGATTTTCGTGGTCTTCCTTCTTCCCCCGAATACAACGTACGGTCATTATAGCTGTATGTAGACAGAAAAATGCCCTCAAATACAGCTACTATGACTGTACGTTGTATTCGGGCACCGAAAGATGCTTTAAATACAGCCGTAATGACCGTACGGTGTATTCGGGGGAAGAAGGTAGGGAGGATCTGAGATAACGTCGATCTGCCTGGAGCCGTGGACCTTTCTGTGGGTTTGTAATGAGATCTGGTTGGTTTGTAAGAGGCCAAATGGGGCCTCGGTGCACTATTCTCGAAATTTGCAAAACGAGAGTGAACCTTCCGCTAGAATATGGAAAGATACACGGCCATGATTTTTGTCTTTTGTACATTTCAAGAGTAGTGCAGCGAGGTCCTTGGTATGATCTGCTTGGTTTGTACGAAGCAGTGGATCTGCTTCGTTTGTGAGAAGCAGTCGATTCTGCTTGGACAGTGATTTTTGTGCACAGGTTTGTAGTTCGTGGCGGCTTTGTCGCACTGGATTCGGTGGTCGAGGCTCAGAATTGGTATTGCCGGTCCTTCCTTCGTGAAAAGCAACTGTGATGTCACTGATGTGTGTGCGTCCAGAACTTTCAGGGGGAAAGCAGAGCTTGGACGCCATTTTCTCCGTCGTTTAGACGAGGAAAGTAATGAGATTTCTTTGCATCAGCTTGGCAAAAGAAGACTGATCGTACTGCCGTGGGGTTACTTAATTGAGGCGGGTCGACCGTCGTGGCATGTTGCTTTCTGTGCAGAATTGTGGTTCGGGTGAGCTGTCGCGGAGGGGGGTGGTGTGTGGAGCAGGTTCGTAGGAAAGGCGTGTCATTCCGTTTGTAGAAAGAGATTGTGATGTGCGTCGAGAACGGGAGAAAAGGAGTATTGAGGGCATGCAAAAATTTTGACTTTTTTCTATGATCTGGATGTGATTACGGTGAGATTCATCCAGATCTCGTCGTAATTGGAGTCAGATATGTAATTTGGAACGTAGTAGTATGTCAGCAGTAAAGAAATGTCACTCTTTGGGCCTCTCTCCACTAGTCGCCATATTTTTTCCCTCTTCTGTGCATGTGGGGGGAGTAGTAGTGGACCGTCGCAATGGGGCCCGTCAGTTTAATGATGAAATCTCAAGACCGTCGCCCTTCTTTAAAAGGGAATTAAAGATAAAATTAAAAGAATATATAATCGAGATGGAACCACAGGTGATGCTCCCCACCAATAGATGGAGCGGCCAATTAGGCAAGGCCTCATTTCCGGTGGTTCTCCTACCACCACTGGGATAGAGCCCTTGCACAAGGGCCTTAAAAAAGAATCCAGATGGAACCAGAACGACCAGGGGCGCGGTCCCACTAGCAACGGGATAGGGTAGAAATGAGTTTGTGGGGCAGTCGAGTGACCCATATCCTGCCGTGCAGTACTCGTGATCCCACGGTTAGAATTTTAGATGTATTACCCGAAAAAGTAAGGAGATCTTCGTCCCCCTCCTCCTCTCCTTAACACTGGGCATGCCCGTGCAAAGACAGCTGTCGGCCTCCTCTCCTTAACACTGGGCATGCCCGTGCAAAGACAGCTGTCGGCAAGGAGATGGAAAAATATATCTCCACCTCAGCCTTTGGCTAACCCTACTACCGAGTCCATGCTCTTCCATGTGGTCACATAACTTTCGTTTCAAACGAAGGGAAGCAGAACCGTTCATTGATCCTGACATCATACCTACTCGCTTGATGCTTCAGAAAACCACATAAATCAGCTCTATAGTGACCCGCCAAAACACAGACTGAGAACACTGCTGATTTCAGGGATTTGCCACTGGAATGAATGCCTTGCTGAGATTCCCGCATTCTGCTGTGATTTCTAAGTCTGTGTGTGTGTGTGTGTGCCATGACTGTCTGAGTGCTTGTTGGCTGAGAATGACCTGCAAGGGTACCTGTGATGCGCAACCTCACGCCCTGCGCTGTCGTTCGTTGGTGTGTTAAAGGTGCGGAAAGAAGGCCCCGAAAAACAGTAAGATGGGGTGTGCCAAGGATTTTTGGGAAATTGAGTGTGGGGACAGACAGAACTGAAATCCCCTCGTGTTGGTCTGATGAAGTGAGAGAACTGGTTGATTGCGACGCGGGTTTCGAAGAAGCGCGCGCGCGGGGTTCGTAATGCAGGAAGTTCAAACTCAATCCAGAACATACTGTCAGCCCTCCCACCGAGCTACCACTCTTCGTTTGAAGTAAAAGGGGCCGGGCAGGTACTTCGTATCCTGCTTTCGGACTAGCTCCTGACGCCGCTCGTTACACAATTCCAAATCTGACGTGGATGGCCTTAATCGCGTGACCCTTTTCTTATGCTCGTCCTCATTCCGTACTCGGTAGTGGAAGCCCTTGGATTGGTAGTGATCAAAGCGTTGGCAGTCACTACACAGAGTGTTAGGCGAATGGGGCGCCACTGCCGACCACGGGATGACGATCAAATCGTTGAATGGTAATAGTAACGAGTATGGTGGAAAATGTTTATCGATAATGACAAACCCAGCGCTTAAACCCAGAACATCGATTTTCAGGAGGGAAATAATATCGGCCGCCGACCTTGGCGACGACGTCTCGTACGTCCCACTCACACACACACGTCCTTTCCTCGTTATACGGGAAGGGACGAGGTGGGGATACGGGAGGGCGGCGCCTGGTCAGATTGAGCCCGTCAGTCCACATGGCAATTAATCAGTCGCCAAAGATATCCTCAAATCATTCGTCGTAGATCGAGAGTCAAGAAATACACAACAGCGTCAAAATTCCCAGAAAAAGGAAAGAAAATCGAAGAAGGAAAGTTCAGAAAGAGAGGTAGAGACGAAGACGTGTGTATGATGAGGTGCGACCACTATTCAAGCGTATCGGTCGCACGTGGCTTTGAAGTCCCTCATTATTTTACGAGGGTATGCTGCATATGTTGTGCGGTTCAAGGCAGATGTCATGTGCAGTGTGTCCCGAATCACAGCATCAACAAATTCAACCATTCTTGCATCCTCGAACAAAATCCCAACATCATTGCCTCTGTCATCGATTCGTTGGATCGTATCCTAATCAAAACGAGTTTCGTGCCCATATGCATACATTCACCGTGGAAGGTGCGAAAGGCGGCAGCCAGGCAATGCCCCTGCCCTATGGTGCCAAGAGCGAGTAATCACAATCCCTTTTGATGGTTGTTAAACGCGGATCCACCATTCACAAGACAAGGTGATTAAATCTCAGCAGGTCCGGGGATTACCCAGGAAACTAAGGGAAGAGTTCCGGAAGAAGTTCTGAGTATACATTCACAAGTGCATATTTCATCACAAACCAAAAGATCGACTCTCCATACATGATCATTCATATCAGCGAGAGAGAGAGAGAGAGAGAGAGAGAGAGAGAGAGAGAGAGAGAGAGAGAGAGAGAGAGAGAGAGAGAGAGAGAGAGAGAGAGAG